CCATTTTTGAAGGTCAGTTAACGCATAGCCGTGGGGAGAAGGGAAAAGAAATGCTAAAAGAAAAGTCTGTAAAAAATATACGTGCGGATTAAAAATAAAATTGTGAGAGGGTGTGTGCGCTTAAGATGAAAAGATAAATCAAATTGGTTGAACAAACGGCGACAAAGCGTCGAGAGATCAGCACATACTTAAGTGAAAAGGTTTTATTTTTAAATCGTAGACAATTTGTTTGCCAGGCATTTATTTCGTACATGCCTTGTTTTCAAAGAAAGGGAAACATTTGTACTAAAATATGTTTTGCGCAAAACTAAAACTGCCGGATATGCGTGTCTGCGCAGATATGCAATAACAATTTGGAAACAAAATATAAAGTGACAAGTTTTGGCCGAAATTTGCCGCATTTTTTGAAAGTAAGATATCGGAAACATTTAGTTTGCACTCGACTAGCGAATTACTTTCAGTTTTACGCGCCACTCGGGCATTTGCAAATGCTAATGGGGCCTGGATCGGCCACTCTAACACGTTGCCCCCGTTGCCCGCCAATTTATGTAAATAATTTATTTCTTTTGCGATTCAACAAACTCCGCCAATGACTCAGCAACGACCTGATCGCCAGCGATTGAGATTCACATGCTGCTGTTAATGCTGTATCGTATCTGTGATCGTCTGTCTGTCAAATTACCATAAAAAATAATTTTAGTATCACGTTTGCCCCCAAAAACGTTGTTTTTGTTCCCCCTCCAGCAATTCGTTTTAATTTATTTTGTTTTTCTGTCTAGTCTTTTGTTAGCTATTTCCAAATGCCTTTGTAGTAGTCATAGGGAGCTTTATAAGTATTTAAACAAAGTGCAAATTCTTGATTCTGCTTAATATGCAAGTGTTAGCATTTCAAATAACAAAGTTTAATTGTATTTGAAATAAAAGCGAAAGTTAATTAATGTTAAAGCAAACAACTCATTGCAACAAATACGAGGAACATTAATTAATTTCTGTGCTCAGAAGGCAAGTCAAATGTCTTCAATGTCATATCTATACTCGTATTTAAGAACAAACTCGAATCGTGAATCTTTGAAGCATTTCGATTGCTGGTTGCTTGAGTGTTTTTGGGTTTTCGAATGAGTAGTTTCATCCGATTAGGCGTGTAAACAAAGATTTCAACCTTCACATAATTTATTGCAAAAAATTTGTTGGTTGCCGCTAACGTTTTGAGAATTAACCAAACAGCTAAAAGAGACGAAATAAATCATAAAGATTGCCCAAAGGTAAACATAAACAAAACTTACAGCCGGACCGGTTTAACCAGATCTCTTCATTCGTGGAATAAACAAAAGTTAATTAAGATTGAAAGATAGATAGCTTTTTATGAAAATTATATTATATATAATGCCCATGTGAGAAGTTTTTTAAGACCACTAGGTATATCATATGCATATATAAATTACTTAGAAAAAGCAGAACAAACACTAGTTTAAAATAAATATATACTCGTAAGTATAACACAAAGCTTTTTTATGAATAAATCACAAAAGTGGTAAAAACTAGATACACCTTTAATTAAAATATATTTAATTTTAATTGCATGTTAACTTTTTTTTATACCCTATAACCAAAGAGTAAAACGGGTATATACATAGTATGCTTGATCACCACGATGAGAAGAGTAATATAACCCGCAAGTCGTGGAATTTTGTACCCACATTACAGTAAATTATTAGCTTATTTATTGTATACATGCTTTATATGGAATAACGGCGAGGGCAATATTCCTCGCATATATACTACACAAATAAAATGTATATCTAAGCAATTATCACGGCAATGATTTAAAGATCGATGTGTAGATGAAAGAACGGCTATTATCGCCTTCAAGCAGTGCTGTGATTAGACTCCGTTTTCTACTGACGTCCACAGAGGTCTCGTGATTTAAACGCAACACTAATTAGGCGAATGAAGAAAACCCCAAAATCGAAATGCTAATATCAAAGATGGTTTACTTAATCAGTGATTCTAAAGCACAATGAACAGTTTTGAAACTGGTTGCACAGTTTGGCATTAGTATGCATCTTTTTTTTTCGGTTGATCGATAATAAATGTATTTTGTGCACGTTCTGCAGGCTTTTTAGAAACCAATACTTATGGCAGAACAGACGCTGAACGACGACAGTCGGCGGTTGGCACAATACTGGACTAGCTTGATATTTTATATAAGCATGTGCGACAACAACAACAACAACAACAAGAACAACAACGACGTGTTTTGGTGTGTTAATTTAAAAGCGCCAATCGATTATTGTAGCTGCTGATATACAAGTAGGTAGTGGTTGTTGTTGTTGATGATGATGTGGCTGTTGTTGTTGATGATGTGTTGTCTAGACTCTAGACAGCGCCTGAATGCTTTTGCATGCAATTAACGGCATTTCAAGTCATGTTTTCGGCTTTCGACTGCCACCTTTTGGCATACTTGTATTTTCAATAATGGGTGCTGGTGTGTGTGTGTGTGGATGGGCTCTGATGGGCGTGGCATGGTTCTGAAGTATGACTGCTTCATACCGATAAGACTCCAGGCACATTTAGTTGCACTAAGAGATTTTATTTTCCATATTTGAACTACTAATGAGGATCCATAAGAATAAACTTGACTAATTTTAGAATTTGGTAGGAATTTTGATAAATGTATATTTTTTACTACGATTGTGTTTGTTGATATGTAAAACTTGGATGGATGCTCTGTACAGGTACATTTGTGATCTGCATGATGAGGCGAATCTATATACTTAGACAAGTCCGGCTTATCCGTCTCTATGTATGTGCACCGAATACTTTAAAATCATTACAACTAGGCACTCCAAACTTGGTATGTGGTATGTGTGCTTGTCTTATGAACTATATATAGCCTTCATATTTTCTATAGCTGTCATTGAACTGGTCAGTGAAAAAATCACTCTTAGATATATTGAGATAATTTGGTATTTCTGAGTGTTTTATAGTGTCGCGTGATATTCTAAAGTGTCAGGAAATTATGTGCTCTTTATAATAGTTGTCATTTATAGGAACGATTCCTACAATATTTAGTTAAGCATAATCTAAGGTTTTATCTAAATCGATCAACTTTATGATATAGCTGTCATAGCAAGGATTGGTACAACAAATTTTGTTTTAGTTGAATGGCTGTAGCGGAAAAAAGTGTTGGTACAGGGTATTTAAGAGTCGGGCTGCCGCAACCTCAATGTTCTACTCATTAGCATTTGTTCAGCCGATAAGCTACACATTTTCTTTATAGCAATGATGGCGTGTGACAGTCAAATTGATATTTATTTTATTTATTTCTTTAAAAAGAACATATGTAGTTCATTAGTGATAATTTTTAAATGTCGCTAATGCATTAAATTGTTTGGGATTACATAAACTACTAGTTTTTAAACGAATATAAATATATATATATTGGTAAACTATTAAATTAAAACAGAACATTTGCTAAAAGCGTTTCTAATTATTGGCTCTTAAAGCCAATCGAAATATTTTTTTTGGTAACAACTATAGAATTGAATTGAAAGTCGGTTGAAGGAGAATTCGATGACACCCTAAATGCACATAACTTTGTATGAATCCTTTGCCCGCCTGAGGAAAATCGTTGCCCCGATAATCAATAAAACGTAAGGTGAAGTGAAGATGGCTTCTTAATTTATGCACACGTGCTCGTTAAATCTGAAGTTTGCCGCAAGCGAGTTCAACGACACGCTTCCAGTTATTCGTAACAGTGATTCGCATTTTGCATTCGAATGTATTGCCACTGCGACTCAATAAATAACTACCCAAGACTAAAATCTTAAAGTGCGATTATGTCGGTACATTCTTAATGGGTCCGTCGTGCGGCTGGCGCACCCGAGTCCAAATGTTTATGTTTCTTGAGGCTTAATCGAGTAACTGGAGATACCTGCAAGCATTCAATTGTTGCACCAACACCCTTGGCATTATTATTGCTGTATTGTTGAGATTTTCAGTGATCCGATTGATGGGCAAACTTAATTGCCTAACGGTATTGAGGTCGCACCTTAATTGCCTAACGGCATTGAGGTCGCATACGCGATACGTCCTGTCACTAAGATTTTATCGGTGCGACTAATTAATGCGCTTATCCACTTAGTATCTCCACTTATCTTGGCACACGAGTATGTAATCTGTATGTAATGAAAACATCGGATTACATCACCTTTTATGCATACATAATCTGTTGGCACGTTTGGAAATCACGGCATCAGCCCTCGATTGTATTTTTTATTCGTATAACTTCCTGTGGGTAAATACACATCGAAAGAACGGAATAATCATTAGCTTAGATTCTCTTATCAAATGAATGCTATCTGCTGTTTCTTGGGAATATTCCACACGCGATTTTTGTCCACGCGTAACCTTAGACCTACACATTTTGAACAAAAGCGGGCATAAAAATCCACGTTTATGATTTTGATAAGAATTGGCGGAAAGAAACGCCATTAAAAGATGTTTATTGCAGTAAAAGGTGACTTGACAATGAGTACACAATATACATACTACAGAGATCAATTAAGAATGCGATCTGAAAGCGGTATAAACTAGTCTTTTTTAATATAGGACGTTATCAGAAGCTTTAGACAGAAATTGTTTTTCTTTAAACTTGCAGACTTGTATTTATTTCACTGATAACCGGAGGCTTACAATTAGCTCTGGCGAAATCAAAACGCAATATAAACAAAAATTTCAAATTTCAAATGCGATGATTTCTCGCAGATGCAGATTTATACTCGTATGTATGAGGATGCTTCCAAGTTCTTTGTTTCCGTTCTCGAATCTTTTCAACGAGTTACTTATTGAATAAGATATAATCAGGTACCCGTATGTAGACCCCTTTATAGTCAAAAGTCTTTGGTTTGGGAATTCGTTCTTAACTGATAGTTATGTAAGCTGTACCTCAGAAGTGTCATCACTTGATATTTTAATTTAATTTTTGTTATCTTTTACAGTTGCGCTATCATGCCGCCAAGTGCTAAATCTGCTGACAATGGTCGGCTTTATGCTGAACTATGCCTTGCGTGTCAATCTTACCATTGCCATTGTGGACATGGTCCAGCCAATCACCAACACCACTACCAACACCACTACCAACAGCATCGGCAACAGCAGCAGCGGGACAAATAGCAGCTCCTTGGACAGCAGCAGCAGCGCGCTGTCGGGGAATGCCACCTCCACGGATGGAGTGGATGTACTAGAGGGGCGCTTTCCATGGGACACATATGAGCAGAACTTTGTGCTCGGCTGCTTCTTCTGGGGCTACATTCTGACTGAGCTGCCTGGCGGTCGTCTGGCCGAGTTGATTGGTGGAATTCGCGTCTTTGGACATTCCATGCTTTGGGCCAGTCTGTTGACATTGATTACGCCGCTGGCGGCGCATATCCACTATGTGGTGCTCATCATTGTACGTGTGTTGTTGGGCTTTATGTTGGGCGCCTCCTGGCCAGCCATTCATCCGGTAGCTGCCGTATGGATTCCGCCCATGGATCGTTCCAAATTCATGTCCAACATGATGGGTAAGTGTTGCATCCTAAGACTCATGGAAGTGGATTACTAACTGTAGATCTTACATGGCAGCCTCTTCCTTGGGAGCCGCCATTACGATGCCTGTGTGTGGCTATCTCATCTCGGTCGCTGGCTGGGCTAGCGTGTTCTATTTGACGGGTAAGTGCGAAACCTGCTGCTGCTCACCTCGACGTTCAAGTACTTAAATGCCTTTTGCTTATCAACAGGCGTCGTTGGCCTCATCTGGTCGCTGTGCTGGTTCGCTTTTGTCTACGAAACGCCCGCCAGACATCCGCGTATCAGCGCCGAGGAGCGTCGCGAGATCGAGCAGGCCATTGGCACATCTACCTCAAAGAAGCGCCCCAGCAATGTGCCCTGGATTGAATTGCTATGTTCACCCGCGGTCTGGGCCATTATTATTACGCATGGTCTGTCTGTGTTTGGTTTCTTCACTGTGATAAATCAGTTGCCCACATTCATGTCCAAGATCTTGCACTTTGACATTAAGAAGGTGAGTCCCCAATAATTAATACAGTAGTAAGTAGTAGCCATCCTACTTAATTGCTGGAAATTTAAGTTAGCTTAGCTAAAGGCGAAAGCTAGAACTTCAGGGACCAAAAGCTTTGAGTTGAATAAGTTTACTCAAATTGAATTTATTGAATGAATTGAAGAAAGCCCCTAATTCAGGCCCCCATTGGAATTTGAGTATCGCGAAAAGAAACTTAGGTACAAGTTTTCTTTTACTGTTTGGTCCAGGCAACCCCACTGGATTGGCGATTTCCTTTATATTTTTCAGTTTTTTTCATCTCTCAATATTTTTTGTTCGTTCTATAATGCCTCTGATAACATTTAGCTGTGAATCGGGTCACAGCTGGCCATTTAGCTTTCAGTTGAAATCGTAAGGTAATATTCTATTACATCTTGTTTGTTACATAAATATTGTAACTTGTATCAACAGCCCAATAATAACTAAAACTGATCACCAACAAGTCAGCGAATCAATCAGGACAAACTCTTCTATGTGCATAATATACTATATATAGACATAACTTGAAATACATTCAGGATTGATCGACACATTTAATAATTTAAATATATGTAGATATTAATATTATTCCTATTGCTACTACTAAATTGAATAAGCATAAGTAGACAGCTAGACAACCAAAAGCATTAGCGTTTTATAGAAAAGTGTCATACTTGTATTAACAAAATAATAACAATATTCTTCTCTCTAGAACGGCCTCTTCTCGTCGTTGCCTTATCTGGGCAAGTATTTGATGGCGCTGTCTTCTTCCTACTTGGCTGATTATTTGCGTCAAAAGGGCACTTTGAGCACAACGGCTACAAGAAAATTGTTCACCACATTTGGTTAGTTCTTCAACATTTACGAAATCTCAAATCTCAATATGCTAATTTTTATTTCTTTAAATTCAATACAGGGCTTGTAACGCCCGGTCTATTGATGGCTGCTCAAGTATTCCTGGGTGGTGATGCTATCTGGTCCGTTACGCTCTTCACACTGGCTTTGTTTGCTCATGGAGCTGTCACTGCTGGCTACCTTGGCAATGGCTTGGATATAGCGCCAAACTTTAGCGGCACTATTTTCGGCATGGCCAACACGCTCTCCTCCTTCGGCGGCTTCTTGTCGTCGTGGATGGTTGGCGCTTTGACCTTCAAAGAAGTAAGTTGGATGCTCTAGTCCAATGGATAGATTTCGTCTAATAATTGGTTTAATTGCCTTTTCCAGAACACCTTCGAGCAATGGCAATTTGTTTTCTTGATTCTGTCGGCCACCTATATATCCGGTGCTCTTGTTTATTTGATCATCGGTACGGGTGAGCTGCAGCCTTGGAATAACCCGCCAGAGAGCAAGAAGTTTAGGGATGTCACGCAGGAGGAGGGCGTTCCACTGAAGACCGAGAAGTAAATGTGAATATAATGGTTCCACAAGGTGCTCTGAAAATCGCCAAACTCCTTCAAAATGCCTTCGAAAATTTCGTACTGTCAATTAAATTTTGACTATCCCACCACATACTGCACAAGTTATAGTAGATTCTACTGCACAGTTGTTACAAGATTGTTCAATCGCAAATTTTTTGTTTGCTCGAATATTTGCAAATAGGGGAAATAGACAACAAATAGCATCGCAAGAAAGACATTATTTTAAAAACCCTGTAAAGTCTACACTCATACATTTTATACTATATCTTAGCATGTGAATGTCTGCTTAATGGAACTTGAATATGATGATAAGTAATATTTACTTTATAGCTTAACAACTAACATGTAGTACGAATAGCGAAATCGTTTTGCTATATAAATAAGAAATATTTAAACATTTATCTATAAATACCATGATTATAGTATTTGAGTACGTTCATGGAGTGCACAGGACCTATTCAATGGCGGCTTTTGAATGTTGTAAAAATAATAAATGAGATATTGCTGTTTTGTGCATAAAGTGTTTAGTTTAATTTATTACTATTAGATAGATTTATGTATGTAAGTATAAATGTATAGCTTACTTGTATTTTGTGTAATTACTTTTACGATTTTCTAAGTTCACAATAAAATTTGACACAGACAGAAATTTGTTCGAGTTCATTTGTGTGCAGAGCGGCAGGACAGTTGGATTATGAATTGTGTTATTAGTTTTATTATTGTTATTAGTAATTTAATTATTCTAACCGTAGGTTGTGTGTGGCTCGAGATGAAATTAGAGTTCGCTTTTAGTTTAAAATTGTTTTAGAATTGAAGAATCTTGTCGCAAATAAAGTTCCACGGTTTCTACTTTCCAATCCAAGTTGATTTCTAATATTAAGTGGCTTTCAACAATCGAATATGTTTTATAAACGCTGGAAAGCTGTAGTCTTTTTGCACTTCGCCACAAAGACAGAGAGACGTAAAAAAAAACGGAAAAAGGAAGAGAACAATTGAAAAAGGTATGTAAAAAAGCGATGCCAAAATATTCTAATTAAATAATAATTAGACAAACAAGGAAAAGCGCCTGTACCTAAACAAACTTCTCGAGGTGAGTTCTAACAGAAGAAAGAGGAGCGAGGGGGTCCTGTAGTTAATGGCCTTTGTACTGGAAACAAATACAAATAATACAACAAATTGAAAATAAACTGGAGTTGTCTAGGGACTAGGAGAGACTGCAGACGGACGGACATGTCATATAGACATGGTATGCAAAGTACATCTTTATTGGTTCGGAGATGCTTCTTTGCACAACCCTATTACATACATACATATAAAATGTTTCCCTTAGTACCGGGCTTACGAAATTTTGAAAAATGCCTAGCTAACCCAAAATAATGGATAGATTTCAGGCTGTAGCAATTTTTAAAAGAACAAGCTAAAATGGCAACACCGAATTTTGCTATTTCGCTTCACATTCTCGGCATGTATGTTTTCTCTATAAGTGATCTTATTTATTGCGAAATGTTCTACTACCGGTAGGATTTATTTATTTGCAAAAATACAGTTACAATAATGTTAGGTACGTATTGCATACTTTACAAGGTGCCCAAAAAAATGTTTCCACTACGATATATTGCATTCTTTTAGGCGCGAAATTATTTTTACATGCACTTAACATTTATAGGTAATCATATTTTTTAGTGAAACCATGTTTGTTTATTATATACAAATTGTTATTTAATTGGACTAAGTTACTCCCTACCACTAGCTATAAGACTAATAGCAACCCAAATATTCTAGTTTTCCAAACTAACGTCCATTAGTTCTCTGGTTATCTCAGCCCTCGACTTTGGGGGCAGACTGCTGCCCAAGGCATTTGTGTCTTGCTCCAAGGCTGGCGGTGGCAACTTGAAGCCACTGGGGGCACCCAGCTTCAGGGGCGCAAACGGTGGCACCGTTGTAGTTGTTGTAGTGCTGGAAGAACTGGTTGCCATTTTGTAGAGTAGCTGCAGCTGTTGCATGGCATTCTGGGGCACTGGAGGCTGCTGGGGCAGCTGTGGATTGCCTTCTTGTACTGGCTGACGGGGCTTAGCTTTTTGGGGTTTGTGCTTTTGGGGCTTCATGCCATTTGACCAGGTCTCTAGCCAGTTCGCCGCATTGCGCTCTGTGGAGGTGAGCATTTGTTGCTCCTGCTGTTGTTGTAGTTGCTGTCTAAGCAGAGCACGCTGATCAGAGTTGCTCACTTGACGCTTGTTGAAGGATTGATCGTCCTTGCTCGGTTCGCCAATGGGGCGCGTGTTCTTCTGTGGACCCAATTCGACCAGCACTTGAAAGTCTGCGTGCTCGCCCAGACGAAATCCAAAGCCCAGACGTGAATCGGTACCTAATTTTATAAAAATTATGATCAGAGGATATACTTGTATATAACTAGAAAAATGCAGAGGACTCACCTTTCTTTATCGGTGGTATGTTCGAATATACTACAGAGAGTAACGATGGCAGTTCCTGTGGCACAATAAAAGCGGTCGCATGTTGTGCTACAAGTAAAGGTATTCAATGGATATAATGGGTTTTCCATTTTTTTGCAAGTCTTCACTTATGAGTCATTTGGGAGCTGATTGGCAAGTTTCGTGAGTGGCTAAGTTTCAGGCTATCAAGATACATATGTAACGTATTTTATTTAGGTTTGCTATGAGGCTTAGGTTATTTAAGACATCCACCTGTAGACTTCACAATGTGCCTAATGTGTGTAATTAATTGTAGTAGAATATTACCAAAAGGTTATAAGTATTAAAATAATTTGAACTCATAAATATTTCCTTTCTAGATTTACGAACTTTGCAATTTAATCGCTTCTGGTGTTTTAAGACATACACATTTGGCTCAAAGTTTAATTCAACAATCAAGCCAATTATGTTCAAATAACATATACTGCTAGCCACTTAAATAGGAACAGAAATATTAAATTAATTGTATGTTTAAGCATTTCGATCGCTAATTCACAAATGACAGAATTCTAAGAACTACGTACATAGTTAATGAATGTGATCTCCCACTCAGAGACGCAAGTCTACTAAATCAAAAATGAATTAAAAAATTAGAAGCCTTTAAGACTTGGCTTGACATTATAGGGACAAAGATTCATGAAGAATACGGAATTACTTTAGACTTGTCAAACCGGTTATACTTGTAAGCACAACAGCATACTAATAAGCAGATCTATTAAGCAGAAGCTATAGCCAAAAGATTTGGTATGCTATTTTTTTACTCGTAAATTATGCTTGTTGATTTGATTCCAGTAAGATATCTTTTATGTACCAGCTAATTAAAGTATTTCATTCATTAATATATCTTACTTAATAATATTTTTGAATATTGAGTGAAGACTAAGATTGTTTAATCTTTCAAGTTGAACGACTAATTACAACCATTTAAAACAACTAACTTCTTTTTAAATTGTATTCTTATTTTTTGTCTCTTTTCATTAATTTGTCACTTATTTTAAGGAAAATGTTATTTTTGTCTAAAAAGATTACTGACTAAAAGCAATACCAAATATTTTCAAATTCGATTTTTGACAATCATTTAATAATATCTTCTAACCATTCCAGTAAGAAATTAGCTGCTAATCATTGCTTGATTTGGTAAATGCAATTGAAGAGTTATTTTTTAGGGAACTTAACCCCCTGGCTGAGGGTGTCTTATTACGTAGACTATTTATATTATATAATAATCTTTAAAAAAAACGTGTATGTAAAAAATTATATACTGCATCAAATATTGAAAAAATATATACACATCTTTAATCAAAAATGTTTATGCAAAGAATTATACATAAAATATTAATAATAAGGTGGTGTCCCTATTGAAATTAGCCGTGCTGTACCTACATTTGAATGCGAACACACAAATGTTCCAAAAACTTTAGACTTTGTAGCCACCAGCACTACAGCAGTTACTAATAATTGGCTAACAGCTTCATCACAGCCACGACATGAGCGCCGACGACCTTGACACAAAGACCGGCAACAACATGCTTTGGTACTGTCGTGTTGTTGTAGCCCGCCTGACAAAGTATACACTTTGGACTCGTGTCGCCAAACCGGTTGTAAAACTAAGTAAATAAATTCGTCCAACTCCAAAAATTGTACTTACATTGGAGCAAGCAGAGCAGCCACAAAAGGCTAGCAATGCCCGGGTATAGTTTTGGCCAAAACATTTTCAGCGTCTAGACGTGTTTGTTGCATTTAGGTGGAGCCAAGAAATCACTAAACGAGGTAACTATAAGAGAGATATACAAGTATACGTATGTACAAGTATCTATGTATGAATACAAAACCGAAAACCGAGCAGTCAGCCACCAGAAACCAACAGCTATTACCACACACATGAGCACACACGCTAAACAAGTTGGCTGGCAGGTTGCAGAATTTGCGCAAGCGCAACATTTTGGGTTTGCGCAACTTTTTAGAAACTGCTCGAGAGTGCGTTGAGGTGGGTCAGTCACACACAAAAGTATTTCAAAAATTTCAGCATTCTCACACATTTCATATGCAAATTTCAATTTGTGTTGGTTAAATAAAAAGTGTAAACAAGCGAAGACACAAAAACAAAATTTACAAACGGCGACAGCGCGACAGTCGGCGACAACAACAACAACAACTAGCGATAAAAAAACGGTTTGGAAATCACTCTCACTTTTGTTCAATGAGGTTTTTTTTAAAGGTTTTGTTGCTACAACGTCAATATGCACGCTATGGTTGTAATATTTGTTGTTGTCGTTGTCTTTTTAGGTTTTTGTTTTTATTGTTTTATACGGCATTGGAGTTAGGGTAGGCGCATTAATGGCCTTGTATTATTTTGAAGCGTTTTTTACAAAAATATTTTAAGGCACTACATTCGATTTACACTTTTATATTCACAACAACGACGAAGCTGAATGACAGAAGCGTATTGACAGCAACAACAACAACAACAACAACTGGCAATTGTTGTTAATAAATTGCACAAACAAAGCATTAAAATTTCTATTCGTTTATAAATGAAAGCGAAACCAAAACTGCCGCTACTTAGCTTTTTTTTGGACACAATTTCAGTTTCTTTTGCCAAAAATTACCGCTGTACACACAAATCATATAAATGACATAATTATACTAACGCTCTTGTTGCTGTCTAGCTTAAGAGTTCAATATTCATTCGCACATTTTTAGCGGCGTTTTTTTATTTTATTATTTTTTGATTTTCAACGATGGCCAGCCACAACCTGCACGCTACGCGTCTCCGCAACAACTAAATGAAACAGAGAGTGGTGAGTGGCGAGTGGCGAGACCATTGTGTGCATATACAAACACACAGTTATACATACATACATACAAACACATCTACGTATATGCATGCAACAAGCGCGCGAGCCATGCCGCCGCCACCGCCTTTTGGCCAAAAAATAAAAAGCTTAAGCGAACACGAATGCGCGCCGAGTACATCACGTAACGTTGTCTTAACTTAGAGATGGAGCTGCGACGTGATTCTCCGAATAAACTTACTAGCCAACTCATTTAATAGGTAATGGCTTAATAGGTATTGGCTTCAAAAATATTAAATGAACTTGAAATTTGCATAAAATACTTTGAGAGGAACAGATTTACGATAATTGTATTAAAAATGATTAAAATAATAAAAATGCAAACATTTTTGCTTTAATATAAGTTGAATTTATAAAACTCAGAAAGTACACATCTGGAGCAACATATTTAAAAACTCATTTAATAAACAAATTGAACAAAACTGGTGCTGCTAGTCTTCCAATATTGAATAGCGAAATGTTTCTCAATTTCTTTTATCCGGACTTTTTAAAACAGGGATCGCAAATAATGATTATTATTATTTTATTTTTTTTAATCAAAAATAAAACTTAACTTGTAATTGTAGGGAATAAGGATAAAATTTATATACATATATCCTTAAACAATAAGTCAAGACGAGCTCCTATAGTACAGTTTTGGGCTAAAAAAAACATACTTAAAAATTATATTCAGCCAAAATTATGACTTGAGTTTTAAATTTGATCAAAAAAAATGTTTTTTTTTTTTTTATGAGCGTTGAAAAATGTTTGCTTGAGTTGTAAAGTACGAGTATAACTCCAAATTAATCATTATATTGAAAGAATAAATAAAATTGAAAGATAAAAATTAATTTGCAATATTTATAATAACACTTATAATGATTACAGTCCCTGTTATTAAATATATACATAGTATGTATATATATTGTATTTTATGATATACAAGTAGCTTAGTTATAATGGGTAAACTTTGCTTTACTTTCAAATTTGTCATTATGAAGCATTTATTACATATGATATCTATAATATGGCAACTTTTTTCATTTCTGTCTCATCTCTAGAGCTGCGCATGCGTAGCGTTGTGGCTGTGGCTCTGCCTGAAATTGAAGCTGTGGCTGGGTCTGGGCTTTTGCTCCATTAACGTCAGATGTCGGTGGCTGTCGCTTCGTTGCTTAAATTAGCGCACTTGGCTCAAACGAGTCTGATGCGTTGTTGGCGTGTGTTTTCTGCCTACCTTCATTACGAGTACTCGTAAATATATTTTTTGGCACATCTTTGCGTTCAAGGTGGCTCCAATAACACATGCGCGTGTAGTTGTTGCCCGACTGACGCATGGGAAAGGTTGCGACAGCCGGTTCATAATTGAATAATTGAAAAGGGCTTACACTCTGAAGATTGTCATCAATAAATGAGTTGTCACATATACTACTCGTATGTATGTAAAAGCAAAGAGACATTTTTTCATGCTGCAGATAGATTGAGAGCCACATACATACAAGTATGTACATTGACACATGTTTTATGTTTATTGACCGCAAAGTTATACAAAATTTGCATAATACAAGCAGACTTTGAAAAATGCACAAAATAGTCGTGTACGCCCACAAAAATGACAGGTGCCTAATTAACACTGACGTGCCTTGAACATCGCAGTTGCTTTTTGTACATAAAAACATTGTTTGTGGGTCTGTTTAATTGTCGGAGCGTAAAAAATGTACAATATATAGTATTTATGTAAGAGGCGTTGCTTGCCACATGCATAGACAACGTTGTGGCGTTTATATTTCGCAATTGCAAACAAACGTACCTACAAATATCATTATGTATTTGGCATAAACACTTGGTCTGCGGTCAATGTATGGAAGTGCAAACACTTGGCTAAATAATTTTCAATTTATGATCTTTTGCTTGCAAAACTCTTCACAGGGGTACATAAGAAAACATATCTGCGACTGACACTTTTACTGTTTACTGAAGGAAATTATTTTCAAAGAGCTTAATTTTTCTCACTTTAATATTTACAGACATTCTACATTCAATTACGAATTAACTAGTATCTCGTCTGAAAAGTTTAATCTGGTTGTATAAAACAGTTTAAAGAGTTTAGAAAGGCATAAAAAAACATAGCGTATGCATAAACCCGCAGGCAATAATAAGTGTTGCATACTCACGGGCGCTACTAAGAAATGAGAAAATTTGATTGAAATTTTCTTGGTGCTTCTCTTCCGAACAGCAATTTTTTTAAGCATTAAAAAACAACAAATAAAAGAGAACAATTGAAAAACAATAAGAAAAAACAAGAAGCCCAAGCACTAAAATTTGGTAAATTTCTTAATTTCATTAATAATTTTAGTTGGAGTTTTAAATAACAACTAGGTATCCGGCTTTCGTTGCTGTCCCACTAAAAATGTTAGCTTTAGGACGCCTACCGTTTTCAACACACTTCTATTTATCGGTACCTAGATTCTCCTAAGCCCGAGAAAGGAAAGTTTGTTAATTTTTTTCCGATACACCCCCCACTTCCCCTCTATTCGTTATTTTCTATAACTCCCGTAATTCTTGGAATTTCGAATTCAAATTTGGTAGTCACACCCAGTTAGTGATTATATATCCGTATTATGATAGGTTGATTAGAAAGAAAGTTATAGCCATATAACCTTGCCCAAGCTCTGTCCGCAGCTGTATTTGTTGCTGCTTTGACATAATTATGTAATGTACACATACATATGTACAAGTACACAAACACACATAGGCACGATTCTGATGTATAGTAAATGTATGTATGCATGTATTGAATATTTTATATTTAATTTAATTAATTACATTTTAAAAATTAATTTTTCTATTTTTTTCTTTTTGGTGGGGTGGTACAGGGTATTTAAGAGTTGAGCCTGCTCGACTTTAGCATTCCTTTCTTGTTTATTTCGCGGATTTTTATTTATTTTTTTATTATTTTATTATTTTGGTGGAAATATTTGAATTCGATTTTACAATTTTATTTATTTACGGATGAAAACCTGACAAACACATGGAAAACTGACTCTCAAACAAATGAAAATGAGCAGAAACAAGCCAGCAGAAAACAATGGTTGACACTTTGAACAATTGCCACGAAATTTCACAGGTTCACCCACGGGACTATTTTGAATGTTGCCACAAAATTTTATCAACATCGATTGAGCGGTTTAGGAGTCTTTAGGGAATATACATACAAACATACTATATACTTGTACATACTTCCATTTGCATATACATAGATAAATGTATAATTATATTTGTAATTGCAATAAAAACAAATACAAAGAGGGGCATTAATACATTTTCCTTAATGCAGAATAACAAACAGCTCAAACGTTAAATGACTTTTGGCCAACAAGTTGGTTTAACTGCGACCTTAGAGTTATATTTCTAGTTTCCCATGTTTTATGCCAAAGAAAATGCACTTAAAATGTTGTTTTATTCATACACATTTATCTAATAAATAATCAAATTTTATAATAACAAATAAAGCAACGAAATTGTAATTGTAATTTTTCATTTGCGTCTTTTTACTCAAATTACTTTAAACATTAAGCGACAAAAAGGAAAAGGAAAGTTATCATGATTCCTTTGTTTGTGTGTGTGTGTGTGTTTGTTGGGGTGGTTGGTGTGTGGTTTCTTAGCTAATAATTGCCAATGGGGGACATTTTTTACACAAATTGTAATCTTCGAGCAATTACAATAGTTTATACAATATTAGAGCATATTGTTGCGCACAGTTATTCATTTCGATTCCCTGTGTCCTGATCCTCATTATACATTTAAACATTTAACAAGTGTTTCACAGTTCAGCGACATTTTTAAAATAATTAAATATATGTATATTTATTTTTTCATTAGACTAAATACTACACTAACAACGACGTGTAAAAATAATTGTTTTGTAATATTTTGTTTGTAATTTTTTCTTGTTGTTTATTTCGTGTGTTTAGAATTTTAATTTAATTTATCATAAATTGTTGTTGTTTTCTTAGCTTCCTAGATCATTTTTAAATTTCTTTGTTTCGGCGTGGTGGTTTTTATTTGTTTGTTTGTTGATCAGTTGGTTTGAACTGCAGCAGTTGGCATAAATCTCGAATGTTTTGAATCTATTGAAATTTTCGCATTAGGTAACGAGGTAAAGTGCGCCTTGTTCAGAAACCGACAGAGTCAATTCCCTGCTGCTAGGGGCCTTTCATCAATGCCACGCGAACAACGAGTGCGAGAACAGCAAGTAGCCCGTGGTGACCACAATGCTGCCGATCATGATCGGAAAACCAACTCTGTGGGAGATACAGAAATCAGAGACACATTCAATAACGGTGCAATTGTCAACTCACTTGAAAAACTGTAGGAATGTAAATTTGTATCCATGTTGCTCAGCAACGCCAGCACAAACAACATTCGCAGACGCACCAATAAGTGTGCCATTTCCTATATATGGGCGGAAACAAAATATTAGTCATACTAAGCAATCATATTGTAGTTAAGGTCTCAGAGGAATATACCATGCACACATCTTGCTAAACAGAAAATTTCCCTTTTGTTGGAACATTGGAAAATTGAACAGGTTTGTGGGCAAATTATTTCCCTGTCTGACCAGTACTTACCGCCCAAGCAGGCGCCCAAGGCCAGCGCCCAAACCAGTGGCTGTAGTGGCAAATTCAGTGTGCTGTTCTGGGCCAGTGATATGGTTATTTTGACCATCATGGTGGTCAGCGGTATGTTATCAACGAACGCCGAGGCTATGGCGGACACCTAGAGAGAAAGGTTGGAATACTCTGTATATTTTTGTAAAAAGCCTTGAAAGGCAATTTACCCATAATATAATCAAAATGGCGACCATCAGCCTATGCTCCTCGCCCACTCCCAATATAATGCCTTCCGTCATGTTGCCAATCCAGTCGATTAGGCCCAGTTCAGTCAAAGCTTCCATTAGTATAAAGAGGGCGGCAAAGAACAGCAATGTAGACCATTCCACACGCGCCAAAATGGCCTCCATGTCCTCAATGTCAGCGAGAATGATGAGAAAAATGGCACCCAACAAGGCCGTCCAGCCCAGAGAGAGACGCTGCAGCTCCGGCACAGAGTGCAAAAAGAACAGGCTGATGACGAAGACCAAAGCGGCAGTGCACTTGATCAGCAGTTGCTTATTACGGATGGGGTACTGCAAAGAGCGAAGGAGATTGTCAATCGAGATCTTTACGAGAGCGGTGAAAGGCTTACCTTGGCCTGCAAGTTGGCCAGGGTCTGTTCATAGTTGGGCGCTGGTTCGATCACCGATGTCATGCGCTTCTTAAGGCTGCGCTTTAGGCGATTCACCTTCTTCATGAGCGTCTGTCGCACAAGCTCCTCGTCTTTGGAGTACGCCGAGAGACTGGCCGCTGCGCGCTTCCACACATGGATCTCATGACGCAGCTCCTCGACTTCGGGCGAGTCCTTGAACTGGAGGTCGCTAATGTTGCGGAACTTGAAGCGCAACTGTATATAGGTTTGTATCATCACCAGAAGAACACCTGGCAGCATGTGCAGCGTAAAGATGGCAAAATTGACACCCTGTGGACAGCATGGGTTAATAGATTTCTATACTCCCAAACGGCACAACTTACATTCTTTGATATGTAGCTGTTTGATGCAATGATCACATTTGGTGGATCGCCAACGGGCGTCAGTGCTCCGCCAATATTTGAGTAGATCACCATGCACATGAGTATGGGTACAGGATTGAGTGACATGACCTCGCAAAGTCGTATCGTCACGGGTGTCATGAGCAGTACAGTGGTGACGTTGTCCAGGAAGGAGGACAGAATGGCGGTGAACAGACAGAGGCAATTGATAAGGGGCCAGACATGGCCGTTCGTTATTTTATAGGCATACACAGCCAGATAGTCAAACACGCCGGTCTCTGATAATATCGCCACCAGTATCATCATGCCAAAGAGCAGCAACAGCGTCTCCACATCAATCCAACCCATTATGGTGGCCATAGAGGGTCTTGAGTTGAGCGCTGCCAAAATGCCCACCGAGAGCGTTGAGGCGATGATGGCGGCAAAAGTGCGATTAACAATCTCCCAAATGATCATCACGTAGAGACCACAGAGCACCACGGCGGCATAGATAACGCCATGCTTCTTATAAATGGGTGACTCATCCACATTCAGCTGCAACGGTAGCTCTCCATCGATGGTGCTACTGAACTCGAAGTTCAGCTCCGTGCTGTTCGTCAGCGACAGCCATTGAGAGTCGCTGGGGGTTAGCTCGAAGGTGCGCGACTTTTTCGTATCCTTGGTGTTATCAATAAGCTCCGAATAGACAACATCCAACAGCCATGGCTGGCTCGCCAGCTCCTTGTACAGCTCGTTACCGTACGTGTCGTAATAGCTTCGAGTCACCTGCACTTGCAGCACAGGCAACGGCTTGCTATCATTCAGCTGCAGCTCATTCTCCTGCAGTCGGAAAGGACCACAAAGCCCCAGGCCTATGCGTTGCAGTGTAGCTGTAGTTATGGGAAAGACTGTGGAAGGACACGATGGTGGCACTTCAGTTCCGAAAATAAATTCCAATGATGTGTTGGTCGGCTTACCTTTCGTGGAGCCATTTCTAGGAACACTTATGAGGCTGAGTTGGTCCACATGCTCGTTGTTGGACATCAGAAAGGCGGTGAACAGGCACCAGACCCCCACCAGTATGGTTATTTTGAACCATGTGAGATAAGTTCTCAGCTGAAGCGAAAGCGAAAGTGAAAGTGAAAGACTCTATTAGTCAAGCAGGGTGAAAATGAATTCGTCACTCTTTATATAGCACGGTTAAGTGGACACAGATCCCCTTAAAGGGTCAAGTGTCACGTACGCGTAGAGAAATAGAGAGACAGACAGACAGACAGACCGACAGACAGACAGACAGACAGACAGATAATAGAATGAATTAGAAATTATGCTTACCTTGCTGGTGCCGTGGGTCTCGGGCTCATCTTGCTGATCATCGTTGTTGTTCTCCACATCCCTACAGGAGCGGGGGTATCACAAAAACTGGTTGCACTAATTACGTAACTGACAATTTAAGCTCACAGAACTACGAACCTGCCGTCCAACACTCGCACCTGTCCCGCCTCGTTCGTCACATTGATGCCGATTTGTGTGAAAACGTTGGCCGTCACTTTGTCATGGCCATTCTGGTCCTGTGGCTCGTCGCCGACTCGCTCCGGTGGCAAGGCGTCCGCATCTGTAAATAACAAAATCCACTGTGTGTCAGTCGTCGGAGCTGGCGATGGTTGGAAATGTCAATTGATTGGAAATCAATACGGACGCATATGCTGACAGGGAAACATTACCAAGGCCAGCAATTTGCAAATATTTGTGCGTAAATTGTCTCATTTTGCCGCGTCCAGTGGCCGGACGCGCAAAGACAGCGCACAACTGGCATCGAGCCGCAGACACAACCTGTGGCGACTCCATCCAACTGAGTCATGAGTTTACTTTGGCTTGGTCTTCATTGCGAAGCGTCGCGACGTTTTATATTATTTTATTGGCTCAACGGCCCAAGGATGTGGGGAGGAAGTGCCGGACAATGGGAATGGCATTGGCATGGACTATAAATATAGTATGTGGCAATGGCAGTATGCTCTGCTCGCAAAATTTCATTTTCATTTAATGGTCAAATGGCTCGAAATGGTCAATCAATGGTCCTGCGGACAGTCAGCTCTTGTTCAGCATAGTTAGCATTTATGCCGGATACTATAAATACTTAGGAAGTACGACTACGACTTGCATTTGCATAATTTGCGTTTGCCCAAAATACGAGCAGTATGAGCATTAAGCAATTTAAAGCGACAACTGTAGATTGCGGCAAGCCAGACCAGCCTGACATTTTTTTATTTTTATTATTTTCTATGCAAATACATAGTAGTACGAGCCGCAGTCAATGTCAATGTCGAATTCTAAATGGGAAATGCGAAATGCGAAATGCCCACGCAAATGGCAATAAAAAATTCAACAATAATTACAGCAATAAAAAAACGGGAACATACACAACCACAAAAATACAAGTATATACTTATTTTGAGCTAAACAAACGCATTAAATGGCACAAAAATACTCGTATTAGACAGGACTGGAAAGGCTCACACTTACCGCCATGTAGACGCTCGTGCTCCTGTCGAAACGATGCTAAGCTGGGATCCTGGCGTATGCGTTCGGGAAGTGTACGCCACACTTGTAAGGCACCTTCTGTTACTTCGCTGCACGTATAGATGTCGTGTTTTTTTTTTTTGTTACACATCGGGGAGCCATGAAATGTGCGGAGCCGAAGAGATCCAGACAACGACGAACACCGACAAAGAGGGAAAAAGAAACAGAAAATAAAGATTTAATAAGATTACTTGACTGTATTATACAAATTTACGTGTGCGTGGCCTTTAAGACGCTGCCACCGACACGTGCGCCGCCCACATCCCACCTCCCACCTCCCATCGCATCTGGCCGTCCCTCCTGCCAGTCCTTAGTCCACAATATATATCGTATTGTACTTATTTGTTTGGCTCAAGTGTGCCGTATAAAATGACGGCGCAGTCTACAATCAGGCAAATTCAATAAATTTTGTAGCCTTGCTATTGATTTTGGTGTATTTTTTCTTCTTCTACTCGTATGCTCTGCTTCCTCGCCTGTGCAACAATTTGTAAATTTGATTTCACTTTCAACTCGCAAAGTTTTATGGAGTCGCGCCTCATTGCCATAATGTTCTAATGGTGTTTGTGGGTTCTGCATGTTGCCTCTTCAAGAAAGGGTTTAACGATTCAAAAAAAATCTCATGCCTTGAAGGTGTCGCAGTTACGCTTTAGAATTGAATTGGAGATGTAATTGTATATTTGTGTGACATTATTTTTTATGGCATAAATGTTGTGGCCAGAATGTAGCTTGCAAAACCCAAATGGCTTTTTCATCTAAGCGCTTTAAGTGACTCCTTTAAGAGGATTAAAAAAAGTACTTAGAAAATAGAGTGGATTTTTATATCAAAGTCAAGTACAGAAAGCAATTTAAAAAGGAGTCGCAGCCTGGACTCATGTACGTCCTGCACATGTCTTCTCCCCAATGCCTAGCCTGTACCAATCGTGTCGGTGGCATATATAAGCATAGCATAAGCTATAGAAAATGAAACCTCAGAACATAGAGTGATAAAATTAAAGCCACATACATATGTGCATATCATTTATTTTATCCCTTACTTTTTCAATAAATATACTAAGTTTTGTTACGGTGTCGTTATAAATAAAGGACTAATACTGATCTTTGCACCATTTGTTCCGATGTCAGCTATAAGATGTAGTGCTTAAAATTCAATATTCCTTAAGAATAAACAAAGGCATTATTAAAAACTAATAGCAAGTAGGGACTCGATATGGCAATAAACGGGATAAATACGCGGGATAAATTACCCAAAGGGAACAAGGTATACTTGGATAGCACAAGTGACTGGAGGATACGCAAGGATTACAGAAAGTAAATGAGTAGAAGCAACCAACCTTCATTTATGTTGTAATTAATGGTAAGACTCTTTTTTATAAAGTAGATTTTATATTAAGTACATAAAAATGTAGTACAGTACTATACTATATGCCTCATATTTGCCACGTACAACAGGCTTAAGTTCCATCAATAAAATATTATCTTTAAGTAACACTCTTTTTACAATTGTGTGCAATTTGTGTGTAAATATTTATGCAAATTTTCACATAAACACACACACACACACACACACACACACACACACACCCATACATCCACACAAAGCACTAGTTAACAAGCGATAAATTTTCAAAGTCAATGCAAGTTGCGCCAGCCCCAAAATCCAAATCCAAATTCAAATTCAAATTTAAATCAACTGACAAAAGCTTTTTCTCATCCATCTCGAGCGTACGAGTACTCTATTAGCTGGCACTTAATTAAAGCGTCTCTGTGCGCGAAGCGATTGCGTTGCGGGGCAATGTCAGGCGACCGGTGGATGGTGGTTGGTTGTTGGTGGCGCAACAGCTAGGCACTCCATCGGCGGCAGTGTGGCACGCTTTAAGGTCAGTCTCAGTTGAGCTTATCAGTGGAGGCGGACACACTATAGATGGGGCCAGAGTCTGTAGCTTCTGGCTGTCTATTTATACCTACTCGTAATGGCAATAAAAGACGTCGTTTTCAATTTCATTGCAAAGCTCATTTCAAATGCGAGTTTAATGACTCTTTGCAATAATTACAATGAAAGCACAGCTGGACCATTCAATCGAATCATTAGCTGGCATATTCAGATGCAATGCCAATTCGCATTTGGAACTCGACACGCATCACGTGTGCCGTACATTAGAAAACCCACAAGCAGACAGGCAGGCGGTCGGACACGAGTTGATTCGAGTGTCCACTAATCTTAATTTAGTTTGCTTGGTTAGTTTTGAGTAACACATTTAAATGTGGCTTGAGGAAGGACGTGAACATGATCTGTCCAAATGAAATAAGTCATAAATTATACTTAGTTAAATTTAGATTGGCGTACTGCATGCAACTCAGCCGGCAGTGGCACAGGCACTGCCATAGAAACAAAGACCGGCTCGTCAAAGTTGCAAGTGCGTTGATGAACGTCGGCAACTATACATACATACTATATGTACTTATATATGTACAATTGCTCATATGTACTGGACTACATGGGAAAGTCTCGAAAGCTGTCCGTAGTATCGGCCGTTTCGCTTGAACTTGCTAAATTGCTTGAGTTTAGGCAGTTATACTATACTATACTATACTAAGAACATATGTCATATTTATTCTTTTTAATGGGCATGATTTGTATGCGACAGATTTAGTCAAATTTCGTATAGCATTGATGATTATGAGCAATTGTTAGACGGGTGTACTTGAAAAAGATTGTGTTCAACGGACTTTGAAGCACCGATTCAATTCAGTCACGCTGTTCAAATAAGACAATATTTTCCCTCGTCAGATCGTCAGATTAGCAAGAAATATAATACTTTAAAGCCTATGTAATTAAGGCAATTTTTCTGTATGTCACATATTTTTTGAGTCACGTATTTTCTATTTGTTGACAACTTTGCATAATATTATCAAAAATTAATATAACGCAAGGGAGTGCTTAAGATTTAAGAACAACTAAGAAACTTTGAAAAGTAACAAAATTATGTTTAACCGATAACTTCTTATTGGCTTTAAGGTAAATCTTGTTTTATAACAAAGTGGATCAGCGGGTATTTATAAAATTTTATTGAACTTAAACTCCACTTGCTTACACATCGGCTTTTAAATACGAATGCTCTTTGTCTAAATATTCAATTCAATCGTGTATTTAATTTCTACACTCAGTACCCTCAACTCATTCACTCTGGGAATGTATAGAAGGAGGCCACAAAGTACATACATATATACAAGTATTCTTGATCAGTATCTCAAGACGGGTCGATATAGCCATGTCCGCCTATTCGTTTGTCTGCCCATCTCTCTGTATGAAAGCAAGCTTTTTGGAAAGTATAAATAAGAGCTAGAAAAGCCAAACTTCGTATCCATATTTTCTAAAGTCCAAAAAGGGGAAAGTTTGTGTTTTTTCCCTGATCACTTCGCCCCTTTCCTGGTTATCATATATTTTTTAACATTGGAATATTTTACATTTTATTTAATTTATTACTATTAGTAGTAGTATTTTTTAGAAGTGGGAAAAGGGTAAGAGAGTTTGTTTTTCATTCATTTGATAAAAATGTTTCATTCAAAAATGATTGAATTAAAATAAAACTAGCTTCAGGCGGTATTTATCGTATAATACAATAGATTTACTCGTACTTGTATAATGCTTGTGTTAATACATACATATGTATATCCGAAAAGTACTAGCTTCAAATCATTATTTAAGTACTTTGTATTCGGCACTTGTTACTGCCACAGAAACATAGGATGCATATAACACATAAATGGTCAATACATCTGTCTCTTTGAATCACTACTTTTCCCAAAAGCTTATTTTCCTATTTAACTACATAGATCAGACCACTCTGTGTAAAAAGATATTGGATTTAAAGTGCATATAAAGAAGTTTGTGGGTCGTGAGTGATGACCATGGATGTGAAAAAAAAATGTTTTCTGCTGACTGATTTGGTAATGCAGATATGGCGGGGAAGATGGAAGCCCGTGAACTTAAAAAAAACTTTTAATATCAAAGACAGTGGAGAGTGGAGCAGCCGAAGTTAACTTTTGCTGCTAAGACTGTCAAAACTCGTTCAAGTTTGTAAGCTGTAAAACAGCACTTTTTTGTTTATATAAATTTAATATTATTTCTATATATTTTATCCGATTGTTCTAATACAAGAAGTTCACAACCAATTGCAGTCAGTAAGGTTATTAAAGCAAGCTTCATTTAAGGGTTAAAGATTAATATTGAGTTGGGAAGGAAGCCAACCTGCAACCGCTTTGCGCTGTTAACAATTTTAGAGCCGATGCCAAAAAGTTATCAACACCTAAATGAGTTTTCTGCTCGAATGCGGCGCACATTATGTATACTATATACATATGTATGTATATAGATAATGCATCGCTTGAAAACTTCAGCTAGGTCAGGGTTGGTCGTAGTCGGTAAATTGGCATTAAAAAAAAAAATTAACAATACATGTGCAGTTGGCTCAGCACAATGGTTCATTAGCAAACCCACATACTCATCATCGAAAGTGTGGCCCTCGGAGCTGGTGTTGTAATTACAGGACATGCTCTGTCTATCCTCTAGGTCGGATAAAGTGGGAATTGGAGTTGAAGATATCAGTTGTTGCTACGTTTGCAAAATGACTTCGTTGAGAATTATGACGCACAGAAAAAAGACCGAAACACAGAGAAGAGACCGAGACACAGAGGAAGTTACGTAAATGTTGCTGTTTTCGTTATTGATATTCGTCAGACACGCAAACCGCATTAATAATGGTACAAATTGTTTTTGACGTTTATTTCTGTTTTTTCTGTTATCACATGCCAAATTTATTAAGTTGCTGTTCCTTCCAGGTTTTTTTTTTTTTTTTTTTTTTTTTTGGCTCGAAGTTCTAATGCACTTTATTGTCGCGTGCGCGTCTGTCTTTCGAGTGTCGCTGTTTTTATTTTAATTTAAATCTTTCGCGCTTAATCCCAATCGCATACACACAGCATAGTTGCCCTCGCTGTACTAGCTAGCATGCACAATTCTTTACCCTATTTTGTAGGTTTTTTGCGCCAAAAT